GTAGACAGAATGTTTAATGTCTAAGCAGCCTCACTTCTGCGGCAGACTGAGGACCCCCCTCCCTCCCACCACGCTGTCAAATCTTCTATCAAGTAAGTACACCTTAATCAGGCCTCTAGTACATTTTCTTGTGAATGAAAAACCACTGCAAGTGAGAAAAGTGGGAGGACAGACGTAGAATGCCAGGTCTGTGGGTTCTTTTTCTTTATGTGATTTTTTTCCCCTTTTTTGAGTAGAGGTCAGCAAAGCCTGTACCATTGAATTAAAAAAAAAAAAGGAACGAGAGAAAGAAAGAAAAAAAGCCCAAGTTCAGCTCCTTTCAGTGTGTGGCTGCTGTCAGAAGGATTTGCCCAGCTTTGGAGGGTTTTGTTTAGGGGGATTGACTGATTTATTAGAGACAATGATTGGCCGGCTGCTGGGGTGCAGAGCAGCAGGAGACAGGAAAATGGCTGGTGAATTGATGCAGTCACTGAGCAGATGGAGGGATCAGCCAGAGAAACAAAAGTAAAGCTGCTACTAGCACATTGTTGTGGGGAAAGAGAATGGAATTGACCATTGGTGCAAGGCCAAGGGGAGAACTTCCTGGCTACAACCAGCATGTTTGTTTGTGTGTGTGTCTCTCTCTGTGTGAGAGAGATCACTCTCTGGACAGGAACAAGAAGGCACCTGTGAGTTATGGCATGCAGACAGATGTATGTTCCTGCCTGCCACTCCAACTGCTGCTGCTACCTGGTCTTCAGCTCAATGGTTTGGAGGCAAAACCACACCATGGCGTGAGAAACAGTTTGAATGTGTGTGTGTTTCCTTCTGTGTGTATGTACTGTTATTATGTAGCTCTTTTTTTCCATATTTGGGGTCTAGTGTATGGCATTGTAGCTTGAGGGTGATTCAGAATCAGTTAGATTTAAAACTAGGTTATTTTTCAACAGCTAATGGCTGTCTTCCAAATATATTCCATTTATTCGAGCTAGTTCCTGATTAGGCCGCAGGGGAATTTGCCATACATTTCTATAGTACTGAGTGACTGAGGAGAGTATTTAATTACTTATTTAGGTTTTTGGATACTGCCATTCCCAACAGTCACAGGGAGATGTACAGCAAAATAAAATACAACAAAAGCCAATCCATTGAAATCGATTCTCATAAAATACCCACAAGTAATATAGTAGCAGTGTCATACTTGAAGTAGACTTCACCCATTGGCCTGTCTTCAGCTGTCACTTAAATGAATACATTGCAGAGGCAAGGTACCCTTCTGTGGGGAGATCATTGCATAGCCATGGAGCCACTACAGCAAGCTTTCAACTCCTCAACCCAGGCAGATCTCACAATCTCTTTCACCACATGGAAAAGCTCTGCTGGATGGCTACTTGAGAATGCATTGATGGTAGAGAAGCAATTCTTTTCACCATCACCACCACCACATGGTAGGTATAAAGATCCTGGGACTTGTGCCACCTACCCTCTCTCTTTATGGTTTCATTGTTTTCAGCTTCCCAGAATTCCCCTGAGCTCTCTCAGTTCTTCAGTGCCAGAGTAGGCACCTAGGTGTGATCCTGTCAAGAGCCCTTTCAGCCTCAAAAGTGCCAGCAAGGAGTTATGAGTCCACTGGATGGACAAGACTGAAGACGCATTGGCAATATTTAGAAGGAGCAGTTTTTTCCCTTTCTCTTTTACCGGACTACATAGTAAAAGTAGCGTAACAATGGTGCTTATTTGGTTATATTGTGACATTCCAGATGTGCCCTTGCCTTATTCCCTCTGGTGAGTGGCAAGGCCTCCTGAGTGAGCAGGCAAGCAGCAGAGTCTCCTTAACTCCACTTCTGTCCATTAGTATCCCTTTAAAGCCAGGCGTTTGTGGTAGCCCCATGGCATACCACTTGGGTTACAGCTTCTGGCTTAGTAGAGTTGATTTTCACCAAGGTTTCACCTCTTAGAAATACGTATTTCCCAGATTTAATGGGATTCTTTATTCAGGTCTGAAATGTAGACTATTGTTGCAAGTGACACTGTTGTGAAACCAGAGCTGGCCCTATCATTTGACAAAGGGAAGTAATCACTTCTAGTGGAAGGTGCCTGGGGGACAGCAACAATAGCCTGCAGCTATTCTTCTCGAGCGCCCCAGCCATTCTTTCTCTTGCCTTTCCTGTGGCTCCGAATATGGCCTGGTGCCTCAAATGATGCTCTGACATCACCTGCGTTGAAATGAAATTCAAATGCCCGTTCAGTTGGCTTCTGCACATGGAATGGGAAGCGGGGGCCCTCTTGTACTTCGCCTCAGACAACAAAATGTCTTGGGCCAGTCCTGGGTGAGACATTGTTTTCCTATAGATCACATTTTCAGAGGTTAAAAGGAGCGTGTTTCACTATTTTAATGGATGCCCGGCAAATTATATATCTTAGCTGTGAGGCATTTTCTCCCCTTGGGACCCATTCACTCAACAATCTTGGAACTTCACAGGGCCTCTAGGATTGGAATATACATCTGGATGCCAGGTTTCTAAATCAGTAGCTGTGCTGTTCCTGTATAGGGGTGGGGGTGGGGGAAGATAATGAATGGTGAAGTTCAAATTGCATGGTAAATGATTGAAAGGAATACAGGCAAGTCCCTTTTGCTGGAACTTCTTCATTGGAAGCCACCAATCTGTCAGTTGCCATTTTGGATGCTAGATACATGGGACCACAGCTTGGCACTGATACAGATGGCCACATATAATTATTAGTTGTGGTCAAAATACACACAGTCTTCTTGCTTTATACTTCTCTGGAAGAAGTATTTGAAGAATTCCAGAGCGATATGGTTGTCTTTGGCATCTTGGAACTCTTGGGAATCCAAATGGCAGGCTGGTCTGTTGTGTGCATTTACTGTTGCCATCTCTATATCCATTTCTTCTTATGCCCACAGCAAGCATGGACTGACCCTGAGAGAATAGAATACTTACAAGATGTGGAAATCATAGCAAGTGCCCCTTTTTTTCCAAATGGCTCCATATGTTGCATATCCATTTTGATCCAGGAAAATTGCATTGTGTCTCAAAGAAAGCCCCCTTAACAACTAAAGAGATGGCGATTTAATTTTCATAGTCCTTATTTTTGAACATTTAAAAAAATGTTCCTAATAGGTAGCACTGGTGATTTACTCTCAGAGAACTCTGTTAACAATAGGTTCCTTTTATGAGGAAGCCGTTTCCATCCATCTTTTTACATGAAACCTGAAAACGTTTTTGCTTAGGCAAGCCTATCCAGACATGCAGAAGTTACATGCATTTTAATCTGTTTTTAGCTTCTTGTAGATTTTAATTAGTATTGAAATGTTGTTAGGTATCACTTGTTAACTGTCTTTTATTGGTGATTTTAATGTTTCCTTTTATTTGTAAACTGCTTTGATATGTTCTTATAATCAGACAGTATATAAATTTTGCTAAAATAAAATAACGTGAGATAAATTATCATGGATGTCAAAAGGCATTGAAATATAGGGGTCTTTTTTTAGACCCATGCTATTAAGCCATTTATGCCATCTCCCCTATTTTCACACACTGCAGCTGCCGCTGAGAGATTCCACATGAACGCTTAATTCTTTCAGTTGCTCAACTCGGGTAAAATATTTCCAATGGAAACTATTAACAGCCAATCTATTTTTATCTCTTGTTGCCGGTTGTTTTCTTTGTCTTAGAAAAGAAAATGCTACTAGTTCTCTATCTGTGAGGCTAGTACACTTTGGATGGGACATGTCCAAGCACTCATTCAGAGGCACCAAAGCTGTTGTCAGGTGGTTGGGAACACCCAGTCAAGCCTGGAGCTGGTAGTCCTCACCTTATAATAAAGGATCAAGCATGTTTGTGTGAATATCTTCTCTCCCTTTCCACATTTGGTGGTTGTGGGGAGTGGTTTAGCGATGAGTGCAGGAAAGAAGTAGATAGGAACCTGGCTGGCAAAGGAAGAGGAATTTTGCAGACCTAGATATTGTGACATCATTGGGAGAAGAAGCGGAAATGTGGTCTCAAGAGTTCTGGAGATTGGGAGGGGGCTTACAGTAAACATTTTGTTTTGGAGTTTGCAAACTTTGGGTTGGTGGTCTGAAAAGCCATGTAACCGCATCTAGGTCTGTTCAGCTTTCTTTTAAGTGTTACCATAGAACGTCATTGGCACTATTATGTTTAATTGGGCGCATAATTGTTGTTCTAGAACAATCAGGTAACAAACCTCCAAGTTGTTTTTGTGAGCAATTAGCAATGCAGATAGGATGATGGTGGTCATCCGTGGTGGACTTTGGGCGTCTCAAGTTCAGCGGCTCCCTGCGCAGCGGCTCCCACTCAGCTTCTCGCCTTCCATTGCTCGTTATTGTTGCAGTGTCCCCTGTGGCGCCCTCTCGGCTTGGCGCCCAGTATGTGCAAACTGGTCATACACCCCTAAATCCGCCACTGGTGGTCATTGAGGAAGTTGGGTATGTTTAGCCTGAAGAAGAGAAGACTGAGAGGTGATAGGATAGTCATCTTCAAATATCTGAAGGTCTGCCACATGGAAGAGGGTAGGCCCTGATCTCCAGAAGGTAGGCCCTGATCTAATGGTTTCAAAGCAGAAGAAATGAGATTCCAACTAAACATTTGGACAAACTTTCTGATGGTAAGAGCTGTTCAAAAGTGGAATGCACTATATCAGAAGGTGGCGGACTCTCCTTCAGTGGAGCTTTTAAAGCAGAGGCTCAGTGACCATCTGGCAGGTATTCCTGCATTGCATGGGGTTGGACAGGGTGACTGTTGGGGTCCCTTCCAACCTTATACATTGGTACCTCAGGTTAAGAATTTAATTAGTTCCGGAGGTCCGTTCTTAACCTGAAACTGTTCTTAACCTGAAGCACCACTTTAGCTAATGGGGCCTCCCGCTGCTTCTGCGCCGCTGCTGCGCGATTTCTGTTCTCATCCTGAAGCAAAGTTCTTAACCCGAGGTACTATTTCTGGGTTAGCTGAGTCTGTAACCTGAAGCGTCTGTAACCCGAGGTACCACTGTAGTTGATTTCAGGTGAATTGTGCCAATTGACTGTATCTTCTTTCTACAGAAAGATACACCACTGCATGAAAGTCCTATAGTGATCATGCTGTATTTTTAATACTTTTTTATATTACAAAACCAAATGTCCCTCCCCCCCCAATTCAGTTCCATAGCAATTAGGATAGCAGAATAGCAGTTCAGCATCCTGTTCACAGAGCGGCCAACCAGATGCCTATGAGAAGCCTGCAAGCATGATTCCTAGCCACCCAAAAAGCCTAATCTTCACAGGGGAATGAATGACCCTGTGAAAGCAAGGGAGGAGTTGGGGGCCACACTTTTAGCACAGGTACAGCTCCATGTGTGTTGACTTTCTGCTAGATGATTGAAGCAGGGATTTTCAAACCCTCATAGCACCACCCAAAGAACAGCTGCCTGCAAAATGTCGTAGACCCACCTATAATCACCTCCAGGGGAGGCACCAGGAATTCAAAGGTAGCGTTGCCATGAAAGAGTTGCAATGATGGGTCTGACAACCAAATCCTAATCCTGAGGAGAATTAAGTATAGAAGCATGCTTGCAACTCAGCATTCTTAGAATTACGGCTTTACCTAGAAATCCAGTGTCTTAAAAGGTGTTCCTTTATGTGCCATATGCTTTGAAACTTTTCTGTTATCTTTTTTTATTCTCCCTTCCCCTTAAATCTCTGGTACGAACTACCCTGCCGTTTATTTATTCAGGTGTGGTGGATGGTCACGACCAGCCTGTGCGGTATAGCAACATTGAGCATGAGTATGCTTTGAATTAAAAGAGTGATGACATGAAAGATTAACTCTTTCCTATTATCCACACCCTTTCCCTTGCACCCCCACCCCATAATGTCGTCACCACAAAAATAAAGAATTCCAGAGCTCACACAGGAAACATTTCTTCATTCCTCCATGTTATCGTTACATCCTGATTGCCAAATACAACAGGAATCAGACTAAGTGCTGTGGATTATGAGTGACAAAAACAATCCATTATTTCATGGCTCCTCCCATAGGCTCCTGACCTCCACAGTTATCCAGGCAGCTTGTGCTCTTTGGCTGCAAAGTTCATATTCAGCGTGCATGCAGCTCAGTGTTGTTGTTTTCTACTTTACAATGAGCCTTCTCCCTTCCAACTTTTTGCACTGGAAACAGCAGGTGTACTTATCTTTAAATCATGTGTAGATTTAGTGTACTGTTTACCCTCTCCCCCTGGGCTATATACCTTTTATATTGCATAAGTGTATGCGATTAAAAGCTCATTTGGTGCAATAACCAATAATGGTTCCTCCCCATTGCTACTCAGTGCAGTTGGCCAGAGTGGCTTTCTCTCAATGCTACTCGTGCACTCAGTCACAGTGTCACTCCCACCCAGGAATAATGGGCCATTCATCCCCTAGGAAGCAGTAAGCTCAGTCAAAGTGATGAGACTACTGTAGAATACAAGCTGTTCTTAACTACAACCAGGCTTTTGTAGGGCTCAGGAAGTGTAGGAATAGGACTACTCTTCATTGATGTCCTGCTTCTGGGTGTGGCTAATATAAAATACAGCAAGTCAAAGAGAGGTATTTGTGGTGATTTTTTGTTGGTGAACAAGAAAGGCTTTCTTTCCACATTGTGAATGTGGAATGTGCCACATGTGTCTAGCTGGTTTTAAATGAGATCCAGATACCTTTCTTACACCTGTAAAAAGTCAGACTAGTGATCTATGTGTGTGTGTGCATGGAATGGCGTGTCAACAAACACCAGCCCAGTTGACCTTGCTTAGTTTTATAACAAATATCTGCCAGCATTTGGTTTTTATTATACATGAACCATGACAACAAACATGAGGGATCTGTAGGATGAAAAGAAATAGGAAAAGAGGGAAACCTTGTTTGTATACCTTATGGCACAGCTCCAGTTTAGACTAGGTTTCCAATGGCATAACAGTTTGCTTGAGCAAAATTATTGGGAAAGATTTACAATCTGTATAAAATGTCAAGTTTACACAATTTGTTTCAGATATTTTGGCTGCCTTGTGTGTATGTGCAGGCATGGCTTTGGGTGGGATAACACAGCTGATGCCATTTTATAAATAAAGGCTGGTCTCAAAGTTGCAATAGCTGAGAAGTTCTTCACACCCCAAAATTGGGTTCCTCATCCTATGGAAAGACAGGCATGTGAATGCATGAGGAACTTCCATGCACAGTATAAAGAATACACCATGTATAGCCTTCCGCAGGTGGATACATAGCAGTTGAATTACCAAAGTTTATAATGTGGAATGGACTTGTGAAGGTTTTGATGTGTTTAAACAAAAGCATGTTTGACCTAGATAATCATGCAACTGTGTGGCCGCTATGGCAGAAGCTGTCACATAACTGTAGTGCTTATTGCTAATTCACCTAGAGGTAACGGAGCAGAGGCCTATAAATTATTTTTGCAAAAATGCTTCCCTGCCGTTCTTGCTTCCATGACTGCCTGCCCACCCCCAAAAAGTGGCTCTACAGAGAAATGCCCGATGTTAAGCTTGCCTATGTGCCATCATGTACCAAGTCTTCACTGGAATCCCTCATCCCAGTGGCTGAGTCAAAGATGCTCACCTGTCCATTGTTGTTGCTGAAAGCAAATCTTGTTTGGTGTTGTTATTCAGAGTAATATTTGGAAGCCTTCCCTCTTGCACCTAGCCAAGCTTCCCTGTAGAATATATCAAGGATGGGGAACCTGTGGCCCTTCCCCATGTTGCTAGATTCCAACCCTCACCATCTGCAGCCAGCATGGCTAATTGTCAGGGGGTGAAGAGAGCTGTAGGCCACAATATCTGTAGGGCACCATGATGGCTACCCCTTTGCTCTGGAGATTGTATGTCTTTTTATATTCTTTGTTGTTGTCAATAGCTTACTTTCCTCCCTGTTTCTCTTGTTTCTTGATGGAACACACCAGATAGCAAGGCTCCTTGTTGCCTTCATCACATTAAGGAAAGAGGTCTCTCCATTTCCTTAGGGATGCAGGCTGAGAAATCTTGCTGACTTCTGACGAGAGCAAGGCAGGGCTGCAAGTCCCTTCAGGCTACACAAACTCACATCTAAGCTGCAAGAGTAGCTGGGCTGCCTGCATCTGGCATGAAGCAAACTGACTTTATTTATTTATTTATTTAGAGAGGCTGGAAAGTCAGGAGGCCACGTTGTTTAGAACTACGCTCTGTTCCTACAAGAAGAGGAGTCCCACTTGATCTAAAATGTAAGGCGAAGGCTAGAACAAGGTGATATAATAAGGATTTAAATACTGCTCCTGTACACAATGGCAGCAAAAATTAGAGCGCTGCCTGGAGACCTACTTACTGCGCAGGGTCGAAGCTGCTGACTAGTGTGAGCAATCCAGATTGATTGAGAGTCTCTTCACACTTTATGCAGCTACTCTACTTGTTTACTGCAGATCATAAATAATATCTGTGCTGTGTTTAAAAGAAGAACAAAAAAAGAGATCAGAACAAATGGTATAAAAATGCCAACTGGATATCTAATTATAAGGCGTCACCTCACGAGAAAGTTTCCTGCAATAGCAGGATTTTCAGTGGACACCTCAAATGCCTCACTGATGGTTCCAGTGCAGCTTCTCAGCTTCTGTAATCTAGGGGGGCACCATGTTAAAAGCACTATTGTGAGTAGATAAATCTGATACAGTTGGGTGCCGTCAACCATGTCTCCATTGCAGACTTTAAGGGCAGGGCAGGGGTACTGTTAGGAGTAGGGTGTTCTTTGAAATACACTGCTGCCTGGTATGCTTTTCATACCAACAGAAAAACCTTGAACTTGGCTCAGTAGCAGATTGACAGCCAACACACATCTCTCAGCACAGAGGTTATATGATGGCTGATGCCCATCAGCATTTTGCACCTGCTGCATCTTAAGGATAGCCCCCACATAGAGTGCATTACACTAATTGAACTTTATTAGTGCTTGGACCACCAGTTATGCAATAGCCCCACATGTTGGCCTTTACTCCATGTTCCGCTGGATCCATATGTAGAAGAAGAAGAAGAAGAGTTTGGATTTGATATCCCGCCTTTCACTCCCCTTAAGGAGTCTCAAAGCGGCTAACATTCTCCTTTCCCTTCCTCCCCCACAACAAACACTCTGTGAGGTGAGTGGGGCTGAGAGACTTCAAAGAAGTGTGACTGGCCCAAGGTCACCCAGCAGCTGCATGTGGAGGAGCGGAGACGCGAACCCGGTTCCCCAGATTACAAGACTACCACTCTTAACCACTACACCACACTGACTAGAGTAGATGCACATCTCACCTTTACATTTTGCCCATTAAATTCCAAGGCAACACAAACGTTATGGCCAACATGAGTGCTATGTGAAGCAGCCATAGTGTTTGTGGCAGGTAGCCTTTACAACCTCTTGGAGATGAAATGTTTAGAGGTTTCCTGTAAGCCAAGCCTATAGAAGAGTTTGCTTGATCTCTATGGATCACTCTTCCAGCCCAGGTTTGCCAGTTCTGTTGATCACACATGGCAAAGGGTGTGGGTAGTTTGGAGGAATAAATTGGGCGGGGTGGAATCACGCAGCAGTGTTTGTGTATATTAGGTCACACAAGATAGAATCTGGTTATCGAGCAGAGATAGTTAAATCCAGAAGATTTCAAATTATTTAAAAGCTGCTATATGTTTTGTCTTAAAATGAGAGCGTGAGAGAGAGAGAGAGTGCAAAACTATTTAATGAAGTGGTTTCTGCAAATCTACAAATTTGTGACTGAGAGAGGCCCAGAAAAAGCCTTTGATTTAAACCTCCAAAATAATGGTGCACTCAAACATCCAAGATCTTCATAATGTCTATGCAGACAGCATGCTCCCCCACCCCACCCCGCCAGACTGCTTTTTGAAGTTTGTTTATATGTCTACTGAGCTGACAAGTTATGGGATTCCTTTTACCCTATTATTATGTTCCCTAGTACACAACATCTTAATTATTGGACACTCTCCAAATACTTTTTCTTTTGAAGAGCCTTCCATCAACGGGAAAAGCAGCAGATAATAGTCCTTAAGCGGAGTTAAACGCAACATGATGACTACAAATGCATTCTTGTGGCTTAAGTCTGGGCTGATTTCATTTAGTGTTAAAAACATTGGCTTGGAAAAAAGCAGGGGCATTTTACACTGCCGATAGGGCATTCCCAAGCTAAACCTCAGATGTTTCGGTGGTGGTTATCTATTTGGAGCAAAGAGAGGCTCTCATCCTGACTACAGCAAAAATAATTTTTGCAGACTTCAAAAAACCACTTATTGGAGTAAGGATTTGCACAAACACTTTCTTGTGTTTTGATTGACATCTCATAGTAAACCATAACTTGAAATGTTAGATGATGGTAATACGTAGCATACATGCAGACTAAGGGCTGGTTGTTACAACCATTATTTATGATGATTAACAACTATTCAAACCACCACTTTATGGGGCTTCCATTCAAGGAAAAAAGCAGCACCCAGCACCTCTTCCCTCTTTTCGATTTCTCCTGTTGATATAATTTTTCAGAATTTGGGCAGATACCTAACTGGCTTAAACTTTCATGGCTCCTTCTGCTTGTTTTATATTGTTTAAAAGCATATTTATTTATTTATTTATTTATTTATTTATTTTATTGAAATAAATACATTCATTTATTTTTAAAGTGATAAAACGGGGGTGGTGGGGTGAGGAAAGCTTGATCATACAATAAGGAATAGGATAGATATTCCCTACTTTAATATTGCGATTAAAAGGGATGGAGAGTACGATCTTTTGAAGGGTCCTGGCTTCTAGGATAAGAATTTTTCAAGATTCATCTGAATTTAGCTACTACCCCTCATCAAAAATATATGCATACGTACCCTCTCCCTTCCACCTTCCCCCAGGTGCCAATGTCTGTTTTCTCCAGACTTTGTTGTCATATGACAAGCCAGGCCGGCAAGCTGAAAGGTGACTGCTGGAATCTTCCCATTCCTCTCAGCTGTCAAGTTGATTCAGCTCAAGACCTGGCCTGTGGAAAGCTGTGCATAAGAGGCTGAGGCCGTGTGCGCTGTTTTCCCACTGATGTATAATTCCTGGCAGAATGGTTACAGTTGCTGTGTTTGAGGAACAGAAATTTTGATTAATAGAATAGACAGGAAGTAGATTGGGGGGGTGGAATCCGCCTCTCACACACTGTGTTTTGCCTTTTTTTGAGAAGATCAGGAACAATAGTATCCTTGAGCTAAATTTTTCAGGAACTGTCTCTTCTTCTCTGTTGTTGGGGCACTGAGAGGGTTCCCACAAGGCAGAAATGCAGCACGGTATCTAGATAGACAGTTAAGTGAGTGTGATGCCTTTTAGCCATGCAATGTGAGTTCCCTGCCCTCTCCTCTCCCCACACCTCCTATATCTTCTCTGCTGTTTCCCCAGCCCTCTGGAGCAGATTTAAGGGACATGGGGGGCATGTGGGGAAAGAAGAGGATTCAGAAATTACCACCCATAGCCTTGGAAGAAGGTTTTTCTTACCTTATTGCCCTTTTACCTGCAAGACAACTACCCTTGTCATTAGGAATAGATGAATCTGTCCATTTTGGTTTCTATCAGTTTCTCATTTTTTTCAAAGCTTAAGTTCATTTTTGCATTATACACATGTTCATGCTCATTTTCCCCAAAAGACACATTTTTGTACCTAATTCTGTATGTAATTATCATTAACATCATTAACAATATATTGCCTAATATTTTATTTATTTATTATATTTATATCACACCCTTCTTCCACGAAGCAGCAGGGTGGCAGTTTTTCCAATCATTTTCTCTCAATACATTGCAGTTTTGTATATGTGTTTCTCTACTAAATGCTCTTTTACAAAATAATAAGTTTTTAAAAATGTTATTAACATAAAATCAAACACACGAATTAAAAAAACAAATGTATTAAAAGTTACAAAATATAGCAGCAGTACAGAGGTTGCATTTTCCAAATAGAGATCAGATAATGTAGAAAAATAAAAGTAGCAAAACACATTGTAAAAGCCAGATTTTGTGATTTGGTGGGATAATATATTTTTGTTTATCCAAATTTGACACATAAGAAATGAAATCCCACCAAACAGTGTGGAAATATTCCATCTCTTCCTTACCTTTGGAAACACATAATTTGTGAGTTCTTTTCTGTGTAATAGCCAGAATCCATGTAGTCTTCTACCACAATGAGAATGTTGAGTCCTGCAGCGTCTTCCATTTCTGAGCCAAAGAAGCTGGTAAGAAATTCCTTAGATCAGAAAAGTACTGTTTGATCATCCCATAAGTTCAAAAGTGCAAGTTGTGGGGAAGCTTGGATGGGGCATTTACTTCTACTTTTTTTGATGTTTGTTCAAAAATATCAATCCAAGCTTTTGATGCCAGAGGGCGTTCTCTTTCTGTACGCATCTTTAGTTAGAGAACTGCATGACCACATTCAGAGGATTTCGAAAGATGGCTGTGTTTTAGTGTGCAGATTGGTTTAGGACTAGGATATTGTGAACAGAACAGAATGTGTCCCTCCTCCATGCTTGTGCCTCACACAATCCAAGCATCTTCAGAATCCAAGACCGCCGTCCTATGTAGTCCTACATACCAGGAAGTAACCTTTGTTGAGGAATTGGTGATTAATCTATGGAATGTGGGGATGACCAGCTTTTAAACATTAGATAAATTCGTGGAGTAGAAGTTTATTAATGATTACCAGTCATTATAGCTATAGGGAACTACCAGATCCTGCCTCTGAATACCAGTTGTTGGGAATGACGGGTGAGGAGAGCACTGTTGCTCTCATATCCTGCTTGAACCATAGGCACCCAAGTTGGTCACTGTGAGAACAGGATGCTTAACTTAAATGGATCTTAAAGGTAAAGGGTCCCCTGACCATTAGGTCCAGTCGTGACCGACTCTGGGGTTGCGGTGCTTATCTCACTTTATTGGCCGAGGGAGCCGGCGTATAGCTTCCGGGTCATGTGGCCAGCATGACTAAGCCACTTTGGGCGAACCAGAGCAGTGCACGGAAACGCCGTTTACCTTCCCACCAGAGCAGTACCTATTTATCTACTTGCACTTTTGACGTGCTTTCGAACTGCTAGGTGGGCAGGAGCAGGGACCGAGCAATGGGAGTTCACCCCGTCACGGGGATTCGAACCGCCGACCTTCTGATCGGCAAGTCCTAGGCTCTGTGGTTTAACCCACAGTGCCACCCATGTCACTTACTTCTCAGTAAATAAATATACATGGGATTGTGCACTAAATATAAAAACACAACCTAACAATAAAAATTGCTGCCATCTTGTTTTATTCTTTTGTTATGAGAGAAGGGCAGGCAGACCTTGAGTCAGAATCATGATACCACCCTCTCTTTAAGCCTAAAACAAAAACAAGCACCATGAGAGCAAAGCCTTTCAAAGGCCTAAGTACCAGCTGGTTCCCCTTGACATA